GAATAAATGTAGGGAAAATATTCTAACATTTATTCACCCTATTCCTTGTAGTCAAAATAGAACTATTTCAACTTTTCAATGTAAAATATAATATAAAACATAACCAACTGTCATTAATTGGTTTTGTAAAATAGTTTATTTTTAAGAAAATTTACTTGAAATACATTTTAGAAGGAATATTATCTGTACCACTAATAAAAAAATAATGTTAGTCATTATTCGCAATATGGCAGTTCGATAAATTTAAAAAGGCATAAAATTTATAGAACTATATTTTTAGACAGTACAAAGGAAACATTATGAGTATTGTCATCTAATGCGAAGGCTGACAATCAAGTCCTATTGTTATAGTCAAGTTATGATACTAGGTATAAAACTAGCTTTTGTATGTAGATAATAATAATTATATAATTAGTGACAAGTAGATACTAAATAATTTTGATGTTATAGTGTCTAATCAACTCGAGATAATTTTATATGTAGTGCTCAATTTCTGCATACTTCCACTCCGACACTATGTTAAGTATATCTTACTAACACTCATGTAAAGTGCTATAAAATTATGCACCTAGCTACAGTGACAGGCAGACGGACAGTTCAATTTAGACATTTCAAAAGCGCCTAATTAACTTTGACTTGACTTTTGATTATAATAGAACAATCAAACAAGAGTCGGTCAGGACGGAAACCTTCTTAGATTATGACATTTGTAAAATGGAATAAGGATTGGGAACCTTCATAAAAGGTTTTCATACTAACCTTATATGTCATCTCCGTCAAATAGGTCAGGTGTGAAGGACCCTCAACCAGCATGCAAGTTTGCAACGATGCATGAGTGTAGAACAAGAATGAGTGTGCAAAGACAATGACGAATAGTGTTTTAAAATCTATATCTACCCCCATTGGGTCAATTATTTCAAGTCAGTTCTTGTAGCTGTAATTAATAATTTATTTCCAGTTAATTACAACTAGGTAGTACTAAAATCATATTGCATGTTGGATACTGATTTGTTTTAAAAAGTATTTAGTTTTTTTTCGGGGTAAATCAAATGAAGTTTTTATAGGGTTTGTTTATAAAAGTCATGAACTGATCATAAATTACTTATTCGATTAGACAAATTGACACAACTAGAACAAGGTTGTTCATCAAACATTCAAACAGACCCATATATAGGCAGACACAATGTCTTATTAGAAATCAACATTCAATATAATTGTATGAGAATCAAATAAGACTTCAATAGGGAACAATAGCGAAAATGGTTAGTTAAGCGACTGTCCCACTCCGACAGCGCAAACGAGATTTATCGATGGAGAAATAAGGTCGACAATAAGTCGCACAATCTAACGGATATGTCACTTATCGGAAATTAGTAAATTACACTTACAAAGTGACTGACAATTTTTCTCAAACAACTTTAAGGTTATTTTATCTTTTATCAAACTTATCTTTCTAAAGCTGACACAAATAATCAAATTTTAATATTGTAGCGGGAAACTGGCACACTAAATAAGTAGGACAATGAGTTCAAATTCAAATTCTTATCGTAAAAATCTGCCGCATATTGTATTAAAGTTAACAATGTAAACAAAGGCATAACTTACCAATATTCTTTGGCTGGTAACAAAATTTGTTGTAGAATGAGCACGAATGAGTATTTTTTGTTGTTTCGGCGTATATACGGGTATTTTGGTAGTAATACGGCAATGATTAGCAAAAAAGCGACGCACCGCCATGCAATTTGACATTTTCACGCTTGTCTTGCCAGCTAAAATTTTATGCTAAAATGATGTCAATGTCAAAATAAAAAGATTGGTAGATTTTTTGAAGTTCTTAGTACAAAATGTTTGTAAAATCTTATTAGACTTTTTTATTCCTTTTTATAACGTCCTATAATGACATTATGTGCAGGACACAGACTTAAACTGTCAAACACCAAGCGGTCACCGGTGACCGCAACCTATTGTTCTATAATTGTGTCTACAAAACCGGTACTCGACGAGTTAAAATAGATAAGATAAAGGATTGTTTATTTTTATCTTTTGTATAAAATGAGTCCAGGAAGAGCAATTAGTAATATAATACGTATGGGGAAAGAGATTAATTAATAGGAAAATTCAAGTGCCTGCCCGAAAAGTAACTAAATATCTTATCGAGGAGTTGCTATTTTATGTATTTACGCACTTCAATAGACTTAGACCAGTATTGCCCGCTTATCAAAAGTGGGTTGTAGTCAACTGTTCGTGTCTGACTACAGATAGTCAACTACTTTCATTATGTACACTAATAAAATATAACATTTCGTAAACACTTTAAACTGTTCTTCACCCGTTCTATATGTTAGATTTATTAAATTGACTGAAAGTTTAGGCGAAGGTATTCACAAGAAAAATAGTACCTACTGTAAAACGGGGTGAATACAATAGGGTAGATGCCTAATTTTTATTTTAATGTCCGTCTGGTAGATTGTATTAATTTATCATTAGACACGTATTTTTAGTTTCTTACATAAAAGAATACTTTCGACGATAAATTCATTTAAAATTTCGCGTGACGTCACTTCTACGTACATTTTATACGTAGAAATGACGTTTTAGCTCCCACTCCTAAACTTTGATTCGTTTTATCTAAGTATTGTTTTATTATACGACAAAATAAAAAAAATACGTGTGTAATATTTTTTAATTACATAACTTACGGACTAATTAGATTTCTAATTTTCATACCCTAGTGAATAGATACAGGAATAGGGTGAATGCATATTATTGCATTTTCTTAATATTTATTCACCCCTCGAATTCTATTTACCCCGTTTTACCGTAAAGATTATGTAGGTAACCGCCTTCAGCAGATATTTTTTTTTGAAGTGATTTGACTTCATATTTAATCTCATCAACACGTCAACGTTTAGTTAGATAGTTAAACATAACATATTCATATTATTCTTCTTCTTGCCCCAGTCTTTTGGGGTGACTTGGGGTCCGCATAATATAATCTGCTAATTTATCTAACGGTATCGCATTATTATCTTATTTCTCTTATTACCTCTTATACAGTTCATCATTTTTAGTCTCTCATATAGTATTCGTAAAAAATAAAAAGAAATTTAGGGAATTCATATCGTTTATTTACGATGAGTGGTCACAGCGTCCTACACGAGCAACGTAACCCGTCGTCCGTTGTAAGGCACTAAGTAAGAAACGGACGCACTGGACATAAATAATCACTACATTTGAAATCAACACAATATAAATCAAATACTACAAAAATATAATCCTTACTATATCAATTAAATACTGGTCTACAAACTCACATATAAAATTGTACTGGAGCAATCGCAGTAACAATTTCATAAGTAAACCAAGAGATCTATAAGTTTGAACCCAACACAGATATGTTAACATTTACTTCATGATATTTACAATGATATTCAAATAATATGAATAATTTTGGTTCTTTTAGGACATCTAATAACACTAAAAACTAGGAATAAGCCTGTAAGAAAAATCTAAGTATTGTCTTAATACTGATTTTCGGTAATTTTAGTCATAAGAGTTAGATGTGTCACAATGAAGTTTTATTGCAATTCTTGTTTTGTTTTTGGCAAATTGGAATGCATTAGATATAGTGTTGCAATAAGAGCTCACTGTACACTCATAGATAATTAAAACTATTTAATACAAGCTATCTTACTAATAACGACAAATTAATATTAATTTACATGTATGTGTTCAAGTACGCCTACGGAGATAGGACGCACACAAATGTTCTTGTTTTTTTTTAATGTAGATGTATTCTTAGCACAAGACATCCATACTTAGGCTACAACAAATGTATAGAACAAAATATGATTTTGGCTTATTTGCACTAAGTGGCTTTGAAACCTAACTAAGTAAGCCAATATAGTGCATTTAGTGAAATTTTAGATGTATGTACTTAAATACAATAACAAGAATAAGTATGGAAGAGAGGTATGGCATTTAGGGAATGTGTAACAGGGGAATAAGGTGCAGCTACACTAGGCGCATAGATTTAAATGAACGCATTTTGGGACGCAAGTTCAGCCAAGTGTGGCGCAATCCTAATCATAAAATATTTTACATTATCAAGTGTCAACAATAGGAAGACTGCCCAGTGCTATTATTTTTAATCACTACTTTAATTAAAGTGTATCTAGTCTTATTTCCAACAATCAGAATATTTTTCTTTGTTTAATAACTATCGTAAGGTATACTTAATTTCAATAATATTTACGTTTAACGTAAACTATTTAGTTGATCGCGTATGATTATTACTTAGATTATGAGTCCCATTTTGGCTCGAAATTAATCGAGCACGCTCGAAATGTTAGCATACCGTAAATATTATTTAAATTAAGAATAATAGAAGACGATGCAATAGAATCTGTTTACAGTAAACAATTAAATCTACATTATTGTAAAACATGGCAATATTCGCAAATATAGTATAATCACATGGTGCTTGCGATATGAACAAGTGATGCAATTCCTAACATTCAATATTTTATGTAATTGAGATCATTTTAATAGCAATAATTATTTTTTATTAATTTACTTACTAAAAATTCTTCAGGCTTTTTATTATAGAGAGTAAAATTGATGACTACGAAGATAATCTATGTCGTATATATTTGGTCTCATTTTTGCTTGAATTTAATAAACTACTCAGCTTGAAATAATAAAGATATTATTAAGAATAATACTGTTTAAAAGTAGATATCTTTCAATGAATTATGTAGCGAACAAGTTTATCTGACTTCGCAAAAATAGACCAAAGTATTTCGTATTATAAACAAACACATTCGGACACAACCCTAGCCATCAGGTATAGTCTAGTTATCTTCACACAAAGAGGAACACAATGAATATTAATTTAAAAATCAATTTCGAGATATTTTAAAATATTGACATTAACACATAAACGACAAATAATTAATTTAATATTAATACATAATCATTAATTAATTATAATACATACAATAAGATTTTACCATGTGTCAAATATATTTTAGTATTCTCTCAATTTGAACACCATATAAGAAATCAAATATAGGGATGTTGCAACAATTACAAGCAACAATTCGATTTCTTTTTATAAGTTTGTCATTATAAATAGCAAATTCATTATTTTTTACGTCAAAACATTATTGATTCTTACAAGGAATCTAACTGCAATAAACATTGGAAAATTAACTTTAATCGCTAAGAAATAACGACGACGTCAAAATTACGATTTCTCATTAACATTGGATTTACTTGACAACAATTAGGATTTTTTCCTTTAACATCAATTTACCTTCAATATGGTAATGTCACAGTCTCTAAGGAATACAGACGGTCAACGCTTGTATTTTCAAATTCAAAGAATTCAAATTAGGCGGAGCTTATATACCCAGTTGTGTTGCGAGTGAGATGTACGATTAAGAGAAGCTGTCCTGCTCGCACTCGTCCCAGCTATCACATTCGTATTGGTCGCAGTCGTAGTCTATGTCGCAGGCGGCGTGCCCAGTGGCGTCCGAGCTAATGTCTGTTAGCGCTGCTTCCGACACCGGCTTTGATGATATATCCAGGATCTGTAAGTATAACAGTAACGTTATGATTATAATAAACCTAATAATAATACACGTTAAAGTCATTTTACTGTGCATATTTGCATACCATTGCATTATATGTAGACCATGAGGGCTACCATTTTTATGTTCACTTGACGGCGTTAATTTTGCTCGAGGTCTAGGTTCTGTGTGTCCCATCAGTGTAGCTATCAAAAATTGACAGTCATGCCACTAGCAAATTCTTTATTAAACAGACAGGCAGGACTTCACGATACACTAGCGTCACCATATTATCGGTAGCCCTCATTTTAATAGATCCTTTCTAGTAAAACTAATATTACTTCATAAAATCAATGAAAATACAATTGTTAGAACGCGTTTTATTCAATAGAAATAAAAAATAACGAACAATTGTATGTGCATCGTTTTTGTAAAAAAAAAATATATGATAATGAACGAATGGAGTTGTTAGTGCTAAACCACTCAGAGCCGATTTTTCCAAAGACAGATAAATATTAACTGAGGAATACCTTTGAATATTTGACAATTGTTCCATACTAAATACCTACATAACTATCGAATGTCAATTTTATTGTACAGTTAAAATTATATGATGATTGTAAAATCAGCCCTTATTAGGATAGAAAGATTAAAGAAAGATATGTTTTAGTCCATAGAAAGAAAACATTAATATGTCAAAACGAAATAGCGAACCATGAAAATATCGAATCCTAACACATTAGTGAGTTAATAAATGGTTAATAATTATGCACGATTACTCTATTAGTTCAATCCTTCATATGACTACATTAATTTACATACATCAGCTGAGGACCGTAGACTATAGTTGTCGGATTGCGCGTCTCTGTCAGCTGTAGACAGAGCATGGAGCGCTAGTGAGTTACGCTTGGGCTCGTCTCGAGACAAGTTCTTGCCGTCCGACCGAATTGCCACTTCTGATGGATTTGAGCGCTCTGAAATATGAAGAAAAATAGGATATTTAAATGGTTATTTTGCTTTATTGATCGATTTTGTCAATAAGGACTTTAGACATTTTTGGAGGCTAATTTTTGACTTCGAGATGTTCACGTATAGCTATGCATAGCGTTTTCATTTTTATTGAAGTGAGATATGAAAGCAGCATGCAATAGATTAGGATCTAACCTTTAACCATTGGATCAGCTAATGACACAGGAGATCCACTACGGGGTGATCCAAGGCTGCCACTGTAATACATTTCAGGATTCGCCTCATGTCGATCTGTAAACAATATTGAGATTGTAAAATAAAAATAAATATAGTCTTCAATGTTTTTATAAAACTTTGTTGCACCATTACCGTAAAAATGGTTTAAGAAATCTTCAAGAATATGTTGTACATAACGAGAAGTGTAAATAAACTAAAAGATTAGAAAAATGTCTGAGCAACCAGTTACATACTTTTTTTCTGGGTCTGGATATGATGTGTTCGCAAGTCCCTTGTAGGAAAAAATATTTAAGCTCAGTGTAATAAATGTGTTATTATATACTCACCACAGTCCACAATTTCATGGAACACGTAGTTGGCAATAACAACAGGTTGCCGGATCCAAGGGTGAGCCATGAGTTGAGATATACTGCACCGACTGGCTGGCTCCTTGCACAGCATCCAACGGAGGAGCTGCTCCAAATCTATGAATGCACAAAATTATGAACGTGGCTTTCCACATCGTGACTTGAAACTAAGTCGAGTGACCAAGTAAAGTTACGTAAAAAAGCCGAGGGACAAAGCATTAAAATGGTATGTCGCTTTGTTGGTCGAATGTCTGCACAAGATCTCAGAGTAGATGTTTGGATTGAGCAAGGAACTTATTACTGGATATTTCTATTATTAAAAACTTTGATAAAGTCTGGTAATATGGTCAATGTATAGTCAAAGAATCATCATATATTACGTGGAACCAAATTTCCACATAACATAACATAACATCACGCCTTTTATCCCCGAAGGGGTAGGCAGAGGTGCACATTTCGGCCCTTAATGCCACTGTAACCAAATTTCCGTTTAGCACAAAAGTATAAAGCATATCTTACCTTCAGAAACCACCTGCGGGAACGCTAGCGGTCCCTGTATTGTGTCTTCGATGTCCGAAAACGGGTTAACAAAGAATGTGAGGACATACAGAGTTATCCCCATTGACCACATCTCTAATTCAGGGCCCGCATATCTGTGGAAAAAAGTTTGAGTGAATAGTGGACCTCAAATTGCGCCCTGAGGAACTCCTATCACATTCTCAGTATATTCCTATGAAATATTCAAACCAAGTAAAACTAAGTTAACGTATTTAACATGCGACTACATACATATTAATTAAATTTCATAACAATGTATTTTCTATATACATTTACAGTTACTTTCTAAAGTTAAGATAGTCAAACGCTTTAAAGAAGTCACAGAAGCACTTACTTGTTTCCCGCTAAAACTTCAGGGCTGCAATATTCTGTAGTACCGTAGAAGGTGGAGAACAGCGTGTCTTTGCTCATGAACGTCGCTGAACCGAAATCTATAAGTTTGACGTGGAACTTGTTGTCGATGATGACATTCTCGTCTTTGATGTCACGGTGTAGGATGTTAAGGGAGTGCAGGTACTCTACTGCTTGTCCTATCTGTAAAATATAATTAATAATCATTTAATTTAATGAATTTTAGTTCTACCATATTAGAATATCAATCTTTTATAATAAAGTTATCCATTCAAAAGTACATGTTTGATAATATTTACCTGTCTAAATATATAACTAAGCAGTGGCTCATCGAGTCTTGGTCTACGTTCAATGAATTCAAACAGATCCATGCCTGCACCATGCTTTTCCATCACCATTTGAAAGTATTTTTCGTTCTCGAATACGTCAATTACGCTCACCTGTTGAAAGAAAAAGTATAAAATTAAATAATAGGTATAATGAAATCTGGGTATATTCCAAAGTCACCAGGTATCAAGAGAAGAGTAGCAAAATCTAAAATTTTTGTTATCCAGAGGCCTTAGTACGAGTTTCTTTTACGTTTAAAGTAATCGTAACGAGTACGCTTTCGGCACTCTGATTGGTTGGTTCATTGGCGCCGGCCAATCAGTGCGCCGAACGCGTTCTCGTTTCGAATACTTTAAACGTAAAACATACTCATACTAAGGCCTCAGCTGCAATCCTCAAATTTATTGACCAAGCATAGAGATCATACCAATTCCTTCGTTTGAGGTGGAAACTTTTTGCTTGCCATGCCAAATGTTAAGATTATGAAAAACCCCATTTTTGCAGAGGAGACAATAGTCCAGCAAGACTCCTACGGGGATGATGGGACATCGCCTTTATCCGACGATAAATTTAAAGACTTATAATTTCTGTGCTCACTAGATGGCGCTAACGAAGCTTTAGGGCTTTTTGCTCTATACCGTATTTTGCTCACTAGTTGTACAGTGAGGTATTATTGTCAAAAATGGAATCGGTGTAGATTAAACTGTCCACATACTCACAATATTAGGATGTTTGAGTGTGAGCAATAGACTGAGTTCCAACGGTACGCGTCGTCCATCGGGAGCGTCCACCCAGAACTGTGCGCCCACCTTCTCTTTGAGAATAAACTTGGCAACTGTCAGCAGACGGTCCGAACGACGGTACGCCATTTTTACACAACCGTATGCTCCTTTACCTGGAATAGATTTTGTTGAAGAGTCTTTTAGTATACTAAGGTTTAGTTTAATGTTTCAAGGAATTTTGGAATTCGCAATACTTATAATTATTTATTTATTTAATCTTTCATGTACACAATACAACAAAATAGCTACATAAGTGTTTAATATAAGGTTCTCAGTTTATTCATCATTAGCGCGCTATTGAACCACTTTTGATGCAACTTACATTTAAACTCAAATTAGAATTGGAGGACAAATGCTGAAAGACTTGCTTAGCAACCAAATGTTAGTATTTGATTTTCTATCAACATCAACAATAATCATTATGAATCATGATGTTTTCATAAAGGAAAAATTCAATAATAATCCAATAAGAGTAAATCTTACCAATCTGCTTGAGTGTGACATAATGTTTGTTGTATTCGCCGGAAACTTGCTCGTCGCCGCACTGGCTCACTAGCGACATAGACTGAGGTCTGCTGCCTGCCGACTTGTTTCCCTGTCAATATCGTGACAACATCGTGGAATGCACGTAAAAGTTAGACTTTGTATAAAAGTGATAGTGTTTTCCAGAAGAAGAAGTGTTTAAATTGTATAAAAGTGATAGTCGTATCCAGAAGATACATAGTTAACTTATTGGTCATCTTAGAAAAATCGTTATATGTATCCTAATCAGGGTATATAGTGGTAAGCTTGAATTCATTGTTTGTGTAGCAGACTATCGATCACACTTTAAAGACTGTAGTAAGACTAATGATAAATAATGAAGAGAATTTTATACTAACGAGTATTAGAGAGTTGTCAGCAGTAGAGGCGACGCTAGAAGCTAGCGTGGTATGTCGTCGCGTATCTTCGAGTTGTACCCCGAGCCACACACAGCGCAGGCGCGGGCCGGGCCCCGCCCCCGCCCCAGGCCCCGCCCCGCCCAGCTGCATACTGGACACCGTGTACAGTACGTCTGGACAAAGTTAAAGTTGTATATTGTAAGATAGTTGTTTTAAAGTTAGTTATGATTCTTGCACTGTACTTACTTGTTATTGAACCCATAGCACTCATTACACTGGCTTTACGTTATTATAAATTGTAAAAGATTAAATAAATATTGCAAGGAACGGAAGTCTACTCATGACGCAAATCAATATTGTATCTTTAATATGATTAATTGATAAGTTAGTGTTTATCGACAGTTTTTAGTAAATCGGTTCTGAACTAAGACTGTTCTGATTAAGTTGTCGGAAACCCTGTAAGCTTGTAAATTTTATCATCAATGATAACTTAATAATTGATGCAAGGATAGTAAAATGTGGTTCTACTCTTAATTACGTAGAAATATATATAATCTTTATCTATATAAACAAATATAAATGGCAAATTCTGTTGCTAAAGCTAAAAAATTGAGAATAGATACACTAATTCGTCTTCATTTTCCCAAATATTAATTATAGATCATCGAAAAAAGAGCTTACAATAATAAAAAACTATCTAACAACTTGTGTAAAACATTTAAGTGTGGGAGAGCCATGCTTCGGCACGAATGGGCCGGCTCGACCGGAATGATACCACGGCCTCACAGAAAACCGACGTGAAGCAACGCTTGCGTTGTTTCGTCGTGTGAGTGAGGTTACCGGAAGCCCAATTACCCCCCTCCCTAGTCTCTCGAATCCCTGAATCTTCCACAATCCTCAAATTACCAATTCTCAAAAGGCTGGTAACGCACTTGTAACGCCATGGTGTTCTAGGTGTCCATGGGCGGCACCGATTGCTTACCATCAAGTGATCCGTCTGCTAGTTTACCGGCTTATGCTATAAAAAAAAACATGCTGAAATGAACGTACTAAGTTGCGTGCCGTCCTTATGCAGCACGACCCCCCTGTAGGTCCCGTCCCGCGGCCCGTCGGCGCCGCAGTCGCAGTCGGGCTTGGCGCGCACGTGTTGCGGGGTCGACGTCATCACTAAGGTACGCACCATGCGCTTCGCTACGCAGGGAGTTTCGGGTGCGTCTTCTATAGAAAGAAATTGTAATTAAATTAGTTGCATTTCTCGTATTAGTGTAAACAGTCCGTGACAAATTACTACATAAATTACTACTACATAATGCTATGCTATAATCTTCATACTTGGCAGTTTAAAAGGTTGTGTATGTATCAAATAATGCTGATCCTACTGGTCGGTTTATGATAAAGCTTTAAGGAACAATTTATTTATAAACCGAATACCACGAAATACTTCAATATAAGCCAAATTTTTCTTATTAGGTTGTTGACTGCCTCGTCGGCCGAGTGGTCGCAAGTGCGGCTCCGGGCAAGCGATCTCGAGTTCGATTCCCGGGTCGGGCAAAGTATTACTGGGTTTTGAAAAAATCTCAGGAGTAACACCGAGTCTGGAATTGTGCCCGGTATTTGGTAATAGGCTCACCCATTATTACATGGGACTTATAACTTAATAGTGAAAAATGGATGTTACATACATTGTACACTGGCATTGAGTGCCTGTCTACCCCCCTTCGGGGTTAAAAGGAGTGATGTTATGTTGTTAGCTAAAAGTCGATTTATGAGGAAAAGTTACACAAGATAAGTTTAACAAACTCACCTGAATACAATTTCCTCGGAGCAGATTCAGTCTGTGTCTCCAAATCGTTATCATTGCTCAAGCTATCGACGCTCTCGTTACCATTATGCTTCGGCAAGTCTTCAATCTCACAACCAGGGGGCGGCATCTCGTTTATAGGAGTGAGGAAGTCCGCACTAGTCTCATTAGAGTCACAGAAGTCTAAAGAAAGACTTGTTTTGTCATCCTTTCCAGGTAAATTCGCTTTTAGAGACCTATATTTACTAGAATCGAATGATAATCTCAAAGACGGATCGTTGAGTCTCACTCTAGGAGTGTTTCCAGTCGGCGTCACTTCTTGCGAATGCTGCGAAGTGTAGTATATCGAGTCAGACTTCTCCGATGGCTTGGCCACTGGCCTAGCAGGGTTGCTCTGCTCAGACCGCAGTATATTTTCCGAGCGAGACTTTGATATGCTGCTGTGACAATAATTCTCGTCATCTATAGATATTCCTGACATCCCTGAAGTGACGTCAGGCAGGGCGGATATGTCGTTTCGTTGTTCAGTAGTACTAATGCTTGAGACCATGTCTTGTGTGGGCGTGGGCGTGTGGGTGACCATGCTGCAGGACTTGTCGAGACACAGAGCACTGGACGACTTCTCCCGCGTCGTGGACAGTATGGAGGGCTGGACGTTGAGGGACATGCAAGCTGATTTCTGACTGCCATTGAATGCTCCGCAGGAATCTTCGTCTGTGTCTGATGCTAGAACAATTGAAATTGTGGTGTTTTAAAACTTACTTACCATTTCAAGAGCATTTTATGTTAATGCAATGGTGCCGACATGTCTTTGGCGTTATGTTAAAAATATATACAAAAAATGTCTGACTCAATTTGCTTTCAAATATAAATATTTTATTTGCAATTTTTTATGAATTCAATTGCATTTGGACGCTACTACTAGACTATTTCTTTAAGAACTTAGATTGAAATACACCATCTTGCACATGGTAAGTACATACCTGAGCCATTATCATCATTATTAACAGGAGACAGAGTCATATTTCTGTTCCGTTCTGGCATCTTAACAATATCAGCTTCCTGGCAGAAGTTTTGAATGACATCCTCAATGTGATGGCCAATAACTTCAGAGTGTGGCTTCCCGAAGGTCAGCATGGCGAAGTGATGGTTGCAAGCAGTTATAATACCACTCTCGTCGACTACTAGAAGACCACTGACGTTGTAGGTGACCTGGAAATACGATGGTAATTATTAAGAATGAGAGACCATTCAGCAGTGGCGTGCAGTCCATATAGGCAAAAAGGCTTTGCTTGACATAAAATGTACAAACGCGTTTATTAAGATTCAATAATAAAATAAAAGTTTGTAAAAAAACAGCTAACATAAATATACATTCACATATACTATACACGGACCGCACGCCTTTGTAAAGCAATGAATGCGCCCCGCACGCACCACGCATGCGCTACTATTCCTTAAATCTTGGTTGTTGGTTGTGACGTCACAAAAAGTATGCAACGCGCATGCGTGAAGGTCACGTGACTATGGTCACAGCAGAGAATAACCATTCATAAACGCAAAAAAGTCATTGTTGCCGGCCTTTGAAATTTATGAATCTGCGCCATCTATTGAATTTTTTGTTAAAACTTCTGAACACGTTCGATATAATGCGAATGTCTTTTTATAATTATGCATACTAAAAAAATATGTTTCAGGTATTTTAATTAAATCTTAACATTTTTACGCGTTGTCGGTTTACAGAAACTTTAAACGAGGAGTTGACTTTATTATTTTAAAAGTAAAAAGGAATAACTTTTGAGTAGCGGCAACTTGACGTTTTGATAACTCAAAGTTTCAAATTGTTATCAACGAATGTTTCTTATTGGAAAATAATAATAAGACAATGACGGAACTCCATTTGACTTATGTAAATTAACGTTTTGTTTTTTTATAATTAAACACTGGGTTGCCTTAATGTTATAGCTATAATTTTTTTATAATAAACACTCAATTGACTACGATGGGTTCATTCATTCCAATGTTTTCGGCCATATTGTTTTCATGTGATGTGCGATCGCTTTGTTTATGTTTTCGTTTAAATATAAGGAATTAGTTTTAAACATAAAGTTGCATAAATATGTGTAGAAGTAGTTAAATGTATGTGTAGGTTTTTCAAATAGTGTATTTGTTTATCAGTGTCTAGTACAAGTACCTATATTATTCGATTGTGAAGTTTGTGTTGATAATAGATAATTTTTTGTGTTTGTTGAAAGTTAAAAACAGTAAGTTTTCGCAAAAATGTGTCCTACAACGACTAGATTCAGGTAATGACCATAGGCAGTACTCAAGTTACGAGAATTGACCCAAGTCAAAGGTAGGTAATGTAAATATTATGTACTTTAATGGATCTTTTATTGATTTTCTTGTTTGATAATTCTTAAAAATATCAACTTAGACTTCGGGTTGTACTGATTTACATATTAATTTATTATTAATAATTATGTAATGTAATAACAAATGTACCGCTTATAAATACTCGGCTCGGCCACAGCCGGCCGCGCTTGTTATTGTTTTGTTTGTTGGTAGGTACCTACGTTCTTAAATTCGTAATATAATATAATATAATATTATTATGATTTTGAATAGATTATCTAGCAATTCGATAATTGAATTTGGTTCATCAAATTTATGCTTCATTATTAGTATAATTAATAGATGTTCAATTATTTGTAAGTTTTGTTGGCTTATTCCATAGCTGATGAAGTAGTTCACAAAAAATACGCGAGATGTCAGTGTATGTAATTTGGCGACAGAATAAACCACAATATTCTTGAACGCACTTTTCAAAATGTATTCTGTACATGTAGGTACCTGTCTTGTGTGAGTATGATTGTCATTGTATGACCGGGGGG